CAGGCTTCCACCTGCCCAAAGTGCAGCTGGAGCCGAGTGTGGGGTCTCAACAAAACCAGGGTTCTTGCTATGGTAAAGAACTTCCCACCTATTACAAACCAAGGTATAGACCACAAAACCAAGCAAACAACTTGTGGTGACTGAGAACACCCTTGGGTGACAAGTTTCTTAGTATTCTTGTTCCCTAAAAGGAGCCCACAGATCGGAACCGAATGCTCCACTCTAGCAGGCTGCATCTTCAGCATTTCAGCTACAGGCATGCAAGCAGGCACAGTGAAGAGGTAACCACAGGGCAACCTAAGGTCAGGGGTTGATGGATACCCAGCATGAGATCGGAAGAGAGATTGGGTCTTCCTCCTGGCCAGCAAAGGTCTCTCACAGCGCTTGACACTGAGTCAAGCAAGAAGGCACATGGGACCTCCCTCCCTCCCCACTTCCCCCAGTCCAAGCTACACACAAACCCTCATATCTGCACGGAATTAACAATGCTCATTTCTTCTGGAGGGACACCAAAGGAAAGACCTGGACATGGTCACTTAAAAAGCCGGAACCAAAACAAACAAAGCGAAACCCAAAACAAACCCCCCACCCACTTTGGTGTAGAGCTATGTAGGAAAAGCAGAGCCAGAACTGGACCTCATTTCGATGCCTTCCTGTGAGGCAGATGACAGGAAGCTGTTCCTGTGCCAAGTTTGCACTTCACACGGAAGGTAGGGGGCAGGGATAGGTAGTGCCAGGCTATCCTGAGAAAGCCTGCTCCTGGTTGGGTTTTGCTGGCAGAACTACTAAAGAGCTATAGCCAAGAACTTAGGCACTCAGAGTGACCACCGGAGCCTCTTCACCAAACCACTGCAAGAGGGTGGCCCCAGATCTGCCTTAATAGCCTCTCTGTTTTTGTTGTTGCTTTTTTTTTTTTTTGAAGATGGGTCTAATGTAGTCCAGTCTGTGTAGCCAAGCATGACCTTGAACTTCTAACTCTCCTGCCTACACCTCGGAGTGCTGGGGCTGTAGGTATAAGGCAGCACATTTTGTGTGTGTGTGTGTGTGTGTGCGTGTATAATTTTTAACTTTTTGAGAATTCCATACATGTATATCATGTATTTTGATATCCACTACTCTACTCCTCGCCTTAACTCTTCTTAGATCGCCCTCCCAACTTCATATCCCCTTTATATTTACTTTTTACAACTTGCTGAGTCTAATTAGTGCTGCAGCTATCACACCCGTGGGACCATCCAAGAACCACACTCAAAGAAAATTGACTCCTCCCAAGCAGCCCTTATCTGCCAATCACTCTTCAGGTAGGCGTGAGACCTGGTGAGCCACTCCCCTTCCCTGGTTTATGCTATGCTGGGGACTGCACCCAGGGCATGGTACATGCCAGACAAGAGCTCTAACAATTGTGCTACAGCTGAATCTTCTACCCTCATATTTCAAGGTTTTATCGAGGAAGCATTCCAAGAAGAGGGGGAAACCCCTCAAAACTTTCCACTCAACACTTTTTGTCTAGGAAGAACAATTATCTACCCCAAATTTGAATGCAGAAGCACAGCGGACCATGGCTAATTCCACTGCTATGGGTTCAGGATTTCTAGGGAGACAGGGACCCGAAGGCAGGAACTGAAGGAGAAACTACAGAGGAACGCTGTTTACTGGCTTGTTCCCTAGGTCTTACTCAGCTTCCTGCATAGCCCAGGCCCACTTAGCCAGGGATGGTTCCACCCACAGTAGGCTGAGCCATTCTCCATCAATTACCAATTAAGAAAATGCCCCAACAGAGATACCCACAGGCCAATCTCTGTTTCTCAGCCGAGCTTCCTTGATCCCAGGTATGTTTAGGTTTGTGCCAAGCTGAAAAACTAACTATACCACAACAGCTCTCTGAAATAGTGTCCCACTGTCCCAAAAACAGTCTGAAGGTTCTGAGACTGAACCACCTCCGCAAGGTTCCTAGAGTTCAGCCCTGTGTTGCAACCACGTAGATGCAGTCCAACCCAGAGTCATGTGTTCGGAGCTATGACAAAACTGTGGATCTTTATTCAAAGTCAAGGTACATGGAACAATGTACTCCTGGCCAAGGAGCTGTTAAAATTATTTTGGGGGGACTGGAGAGATGGTTCAGTGGTTAGGTCCCTGCTCTTGTAGAGGATCACAGCTCCACTACCAGCACTCACTTGGGTGGCTGCCAACTTCCTGAAACTCCAATCACAGGGGAGCAGACACTCTACTTCTGGCCTCCCTGGGCCCTGGGCATGCATAGGGCACATGCAGACAAAACACTCACAGACATGAAATAAAAATAAACACATCTCTTTTTAAAAGTTGTTCAGTGTGAGGAAGGTGATATAGAGGTGACCAGGTCAGCAGCAACAAGGGGAAATGACTAGATATGAATCGGACAGGGAGGCAGAGGCTCTGGAAATCAGGCGAGGAAGAGGAAACCATTGAGGATGCTTCATTTGGGGACAGCGCAATTGGATGCTATGAAATGTCCAATTCTGGCTGTTGTGTGGGAAGTCACTGGGGTCCATGAGTATGCAATGTCCCAACTCATCTTTCCTACCTGGTAATCTCTTATGACTCACTAGTCCTCTTTCCAGAATTATCTAGAGAGTCTTTCAAAAAGAAAGACTTAAAAGCATAATTATAAGCTGGAGAAACAGCTCAGTGGTTAAGAGAACTGGCTCCTCTTCTAATGGACCCATGTTCAATTCCCAGCACCCACGTGGTGGCTCAATACCACCTGTAACTCCTATTCTAGGGGGCCCAATGCCCTCTTCCGGTCTCCTTGGGAACCAGACATGCACATGATACACAGACAAACATGCAAGCAAAACATCCATCCAGTTTAAATTTAAAATAATAATTCAAAACATAACTTTGTAAATTTAAAAATAATTATGTCTTGCTCACTACCTTAAGGAACTTTACAAAAATCCATTCACTCATTTATTAAAATAAACACTGCTTATTTCCAAATAGCAATGGAAGTTGTTTTAAAAAATGGCTATAAGGCCGGGCGATGGTGGCGCACGCCTTTAATCCCAGCACTCGGGAGGCAGAGGCAGGCGGAATTCTGGGAGTTCGAGACCAGCCTGGTCTACAAGAGCTAGTTCCAGGACAGGCTCCAAAAACCACAGAGAAACCCTGTCTCGAAAAAAAAAAATGGCTATAAACAACAGAACTGCTTAGAGTTCTCTTTGGGAAAATGTTTAAAATTCATTGGAACATCTGTTTTCAGTGTCAATTTAAGAATTCAACTATTTGAAAAGCCCAGTTTGCTCTCAGGGCTTACACTTCTCAGTCACAGACTAGGGCATCAGACTGGCTTCGCTTTTATGCACCTTCAAAGTCTCCTCCCCCTTGCTCTTTCCCACCCCTGCTAGAGAAAGATGCCCCTTATGCTGCTCTGCCAGCCCCACCTCCCACTCTGATCTGGGACAGAGCAAAGATCGGAACATCTGAAATGCTCCTTCCTCAGCAACTCACTTCTGTTAGGAGAAAAATACCGAGAAACGTATATTCTTCCTTGGAGTGCATCTAAGACTGTCTGTGGTTATCCGACTAAATCTATCAAGTACAAAACTTCATCATACTTTTTCAAAATTCAGAAAATAAAGCATAGTTTTAAAAGCATTCAACAGAAGCTTTGGTTCCTAGTACTCCTCCGGTGCTTACCACATCACCACACAGAGCGCAGTGTGGCTGGCCAGCACTAGCAGCAAGCACACCGGACTTGCAGCAGATTAGGAATAGACCTGGCAGAAAGGCTGAGGAATTTTTGAGGATTTGGTGATGGAGAACAGAGCCCTCTCAGTTCTTTGCTTGCCTTTGGCTCTCGATATTTGTTTCAAATTGTCATGTTGCCTCAAACTACAAATCTTCTGTAATTTAGTGTGCAAGAAGAAAATTCTTCAAGAAATGTAGCACGAATAATAAAAACCCAGAGACAGAAATTGGGGTTCAACCTGCAAATTAGAAAAGCAGAGCAGCCAAGCCACTAGAGAAGTCTTACCTCTACCAAGGCTGGGGGACCACTTTTCTGGTTTTCAGGCTGAACCCCAATTTCTGTCTCTGGGTTTTTATTATTGTGCTACAAAGAAATGCTCACTTGAACAAATGAACTTTGAAAGGAAGAACGAGGTTTGTAGCTAGACTGTAAACCGAACGTCACAGGTATTCTTAAAAGACAAACTTTAGTCAACCAGATTGAAGAGCAAAAGAGACAAAACCACATTTTGACTGCCCTTTTAGCGCAGGGGCAATACCTGAAACGTGTTGATCTAGTCATCCAACACCCCCCCCCAATTTCTTTTGGTAAAGCCTGGTTCATTTTCCAGCCTCTTCACAAAGTGTCATCCGTTGGAGAAACCTGCCGTACTTGTTTGTGCTAACCAATCCTTTGTGTCACGTCGAAACGCAAGTGAGAACACTTAAGCAGGTCCGAGATGAACGTAGAAGCTACCCGAACACAACAGATTCTGCTCCACAGTAGTAATGGTGAAAGGCTTGTGTTTCGTCCCCCTCTGATCTTTTCCAGGCCTCTACTCTCACAGGCTGTCCCTGCAGCTCACTAGAGCCCGGTGGAAAAGCCAAAACCAGTCTTTTTCCCTGGCGGGACAACCAGCCTCGGTCCAACGCCACCCGCTAACAGGAACACCCAACTTTCGCAGCCGCTCACTGGTTTGCGGCGTGAGATTGCCTTAGGCGCCCTGGTCTGTGACTCGCAGAAATCCCGCCAAAGCGCGGCCAGGCCACTGGGCAGTGTTGAGGGGAAAGTTCTCGGCGCATGCCATACTAGACCTGAGGGCTGCTTTCCACACAGGTTCTAACTTGGGTGCTCCCAAAGCGACTCGTCACCCTCTGTGGTGACGCGGAGTCCTTGGTGCCCACGGGTTCTGGTTCCACTAGGACGTGCACCCCTTTATCCGGCTGGGGATCCCCCAGGACCCTCGACGGCTAGCTGGAGTTGCAGCAGACCTTCGGGACCTCGCACTCACCTCTGCAGGGCGCGGGAAGCAGCAGCAGCCCAAGCAGCAGCGAGGCCAGAGTCATCGCGGAGCCGTGGATCTGGAAGTTCTCTTTGGACAGATGCACCGACCCACTAACGTCCAGAACTCGCCGGTGGCCGCCCGAGCGAGCGGGCGTAGCGCCGCAGTCCTGGCCGCTGAGGCAGCAGGCGCCGAAGTGGCAGCGCTGAGTTTAGGATCACTGGCGTTGTAGGTTGGAAAGGGGAGGCGGGCCCGGGGCTCAGGCCTGGGCGGGGCCAGCAGGTTGGTGTGGGCAGGGGGGCGGGAAGAAGGAAGGGCAAAGAAAGAAGGAGGGAACTAGAGGAGGGGGGTGGACCCAAGGCCTAGCCTTAGGGAGGGTGGAAGGGCGGGGCAGAAGCGAGTGAAGCTAGGGTCGGTCCCAGCAGGTCACCCAGACCTGAGGGTGTGGAAGACTAGAGGGGAGGTGCTGGGGAAGGAAAGGCAGCTAGTAGCGAGCAAAGGAGGGCCACTATCTTGGGCTACAAGGACTGAGAGACCGAGAGGAAGTAAAGGGTACTAAGAAAAAGCAATGATCGAGAAGAGAGAGGGTCTCTGGCCACCCGGCAACCTCGGAGTCTCATTTTGTTCACTTTGTGGGGGTAGGTAGAAGGGCTTGGAAACAGGAGAGGGGGCGTTCAGTGGCGTGCATAGGATGCAGCCCCCACATCTTAAAGGGTTAGTGGGTCCAGATGCCTTGGGACGACAGCAACCCTGCAGTCCAGGCTCTCCTGGCTTGGGAGGCGCTAGCAGCAGTGTTCGAGAGGCTGTTGTGGCCACAGTGGCAGTACATCCTGCTGAGCCGGATCCTCCTCCAGGCTACTGAGGAGCAAGAGCGGACCCTGGCGTCAGAAGCTTGCAACACCCACCAGAGAGGCTCGCTAGGGAGAATGAAGCTGAATCCTGTAAGAATCCTAAGAGTCTAGAGAAGCAGGGAGATGATGAGGTCTGATGAAAGTGTGCAGAGCAAGGGTGGAAAGGAGCAGTGCTGGAACGGGAAAAGTTGGAAGGTCCCAGGCAGCAGCAACAAACTGTGAATTCTGTTGTAAATCGCAAAGAAATGGAAGGTACTTTTTCTAGCCACCACAGTGATACCTTACATTTTGTACAATGCTTTCTTAAAGGAAATAGAACGATTTGTTTTCTTTTGAGATGAGGTCGCTTTAGGGTCTCGAGCAAACCACCCTAATAAATTTAGAATATTTATTACTGAAACTAAGGGCAGGCAGACAAGCACTGTGATACAATCAGCTCCTGGTATCTCTATCCCTGCAGGAAGATGCCAAACCAGAAATAAAGGATTAACCATGCTTGGTGATATAAGAGAGCCCAGTGTACTGGGGACAGTGCCATCCCTGGGTAGGTAGTCCTGGGATGTATAAGAAAGCAAACTAAGCAAGCCAGGAGGAACAAGTCAGGAAAGAGCATTTCTCCACGGTCTCTGCTTCAGTTCTTGCCTGTAGGTTCCCGCCTTGAATCCTGGCCCTGACTTCTCTGTAGCATGAATAATAAGAACTCAGAGACAGATATTGGGGTTCAACCTGAAGATCAGAAAAGCAAAACAGCCAGCCACTGGCTCTTACATCTACCTCAGTCCGAAATGGCGATCCTGCCCCCAGGAATCTCAGAATGAGACTGTGCATGAGAGCTGTCTCCTCCTGTTTTATATTCCTCTCTAGTGCTGGGATTAAGGCATGCAACAATTACCACCCCGCCTCTATGGCTAACCAGTGTGGCTGCTGGGATTAAAGCTGTGTGCCACCACTGCACAGCTATGTGGCTGACTAGTGTGGGTGCTTTGCACTGACCTTCAGGCAAGCTTTATTTATGAAAACACAAATGAAATGCCACTACACTTCCCTACATGATGGACTTCAGCTGTAAGCTGAAATACATTTGCTTTTGGTCATGTTTATCACAGCAACAGAAACCTACCTAGATCAAACAGGGTCTTGCTATGTTACTCAGGTGGGATTTGAATTCCTGGCTCAAACAAATACTCTGGCCTTCTGAGTACTAGAACTACATGTGTGTGCCACTATGTCTTGCTTAAATCTCCTTTATTTTCCTTTAAAGATAAGGTCTTGGGCTGGAGAGATGGCTCAGTGGTTGAGAGCACTGACTGCTCTTCCAGAGGTCCTGAGTTCAATTCCCAGCAACCACATGGTGGCTCACAACCATCTGTAATGGGATCTGGTGTCCTCTTCTGACCTGCAGGCATACTTGCAGGCAGAACCCTGTAAACATAATAAATACATAAATCTTAAAAAAAAAGACAAGGTCTCACTGTTTAGCCCTAGTTTGCATGGAATTCACTTTGTAAACCAGACGAGCCTCATTTTCACAGAGATCCATTTGCTCCGTCTTCCAGTGTGCTAGAATTAAAGGTATGTACCTTTCTTTTTTTTAGTTTATCTTCTTTATGTGTGTGGCTGTTTTGACTGCATGATTTGTATGCCTGGTACCCTTGGAGGTTAAAAGAACATATTGGATCTCCTGGAATGTAGTAACAGGTAGTTGTGAGCCACCAGATGGTTCTCTGCAAGAGCAACAAATGCTTTTAACCACTGAGCCGATTTCCCAGCTCCAAATCTGACTTTGTTAATGAGACCTGCCCTGTACAGTATTGTTTTATAGGCTACCATAGATGCAGTGGGAAGGAAGCATTGGCCAGTTCATTAGGTTCCTGGATTTGGACAGCAGAAATGGATTATCTTTTCTCTGTAGTCTCTGTCTTCAACCTTCGAGGGGCTAGCACCTAGAGTGACCTCGGCGAGACAGAACCTGGGAGTCTGTGGCCTGGTTTTGTGCACCAGCATTGCTGAAACACAGCTGTTCATGTGCGTATGTCTGTGTGATTTTGCACTGAAGCAGCAGGGCTGAGTAGTTATATCGGAGATTATATGCTTCGCAAAGCCGTATAATCCAGCCCTTTACAATGTCTGCCAAGTCCTGGTCTAAAGGTTAGTCCATTTCCATAGCTGCTGCCTGCACCAGCATGCTTTGGAAACAAGGGCTTCAGATCAAAGGATCTAGACAAGCTTAGAGAAAGTCTGGTATGGGAGCTCGCAGCTCCAAGAGTGAGCAATCCGGTGAGTAAAGTAGATGCTGATGGCCTGAGTGACCCAGCCTCAGAGTGGCTCTCGAGGTGAAAACAATGTCAAGCCTACCCTCCTGGGGAGGAGCCACAGGCCAAAAACTCTTCGCAGTAAATGGCAAAGAGCTTGCACAAACATGCAAAACCAGCTAAGCCGGGCGGTGGTGATGCATGCCTTTAAGCCCAGCATTTGGGAGGCAGAGACAAGTGGATCTCTGTGAATTTGAGGCCAGCCTGGTCTACAGAGTGAGTTTCGGGACAGGCTTCAAAGCTACAGAGAAGCTCTGTCTCAAAAAAATAAAATAAAATAAAAGCAAGCTAAGATACAAGATGTATTAATCGTATAGTATTAATTTCATACTTACCATACATCTGATTTGTTACCAAAATATGTGAAGAGGAATGTGAGGCAAACGACACTATGTATCCTGGAGCCTTAGCACCACTGTTTATTAACCAACCAAAGGAAAGAATATTCGGGGCTGTAGCATTGTTTATCCAGGACCAGAGAAGATCATTGCTGCTGATTCAACTGTAGAAAGCAATAACCGACATAAAAGGTAATTGAGATCTACTAAGTATTAAGTATGTTTAACACATCAGTGACATGGCTGAAGACTTTCTTTTTTTAAAGATTTGTTTACTATGTATATGGTGTTCCGCCTATATTCCTGAAAAGAGCACCAGTTCTCATTACGGATGTTTGTGAGCTACCATGTGATTGCTGAAAATTGAACTCAGGACCTCTGGAAGAACAGCCAGAGTTCCTAACTTCTGAGTGTTCTCTTCAGCCTGGCTGAAGATTTTCAGCTATAGGACCCAGTGGGAACATGCCAGACCATTCATGAAAGGTTAAGACATCCTTCAATGAATGATAGCCCTTCCCATTTCAAGACAGGGTCTTCTGTATCAAATTTGCTATATAGATGAGGATGACCTTGAACTTCAGATCCTTCTGCCTCACTTCTCTAGTGCAAGGATTACAGATGTGTGCCACTATACTGGCTTTATGTGGTGCTGAGGATCAAACCTAGTGCTTTTTGTTCTTATCGGGTAAGCACAGAGTTCCATCCCCAGCCCCGTTGACTCTATTCTAAACTTGAATCTTGCTCTTTTTCCTCCTAACCACTGCCTTCTGCTCTTTTCAGCATTGTTCTTAGTTGTGACCTATATCTATGCCTGCTTCTGTTCCACTATGTGTTCCTCCCCCAGTGCTGTACACCCCTCAGCTAATCTCCTTAACCACAGTGACACAGTGCTTGACTATTTGCACTGATGGAGATCTAGACATCAGATTGGCCCCGGGATACGCTCACATCACTGTGTGGCATGAAATGACCTTAATCTACGTTCACTGCTAGAGAGCCATATGCTCATTTACATATATGGACCATTACCTGCTTAACTTCAGGTATACAGATGCCTAGGAAGTGTTGCTGAGACAGTGCATGGCTCCTCCAGCAGGATGCTTTGTCTTGTGGAATCTAGCACCAGTTAAAGCCTTCTGATTCTGTCACCAACCCCACATCAGACAGAGGTCTGATCTCCAAAATATACAAAGAACTCAAGAAATTGGTCACCAAAAGAACAAATAAGCCAATAAAAAAAAAAAAAGGAGTACAGACCTAAATAGAGAACTCTCAACAAAGGAATCTAAAATGGCTGAAAGACACTTAAGGAAATGCTCAACAACCTTAGTCATCAGAGAAATGCAAATCAAAACAACTCCTGAGATTCCATCTTACACCTGTAAGAATGCCAAGATAAAAAACACTGGTGACAGCTTCTGCTGGAGAGGATGTGGGGGTAAAGACAACACTCCTCTATTGCTGGTATGAATGCAAACTGGTACAACACTTTTCAATGTCAGTGTGGCGATTCCTCAGAAAATTAGTAAACAACCTTCCTCAATACCCAACAATATCACTTTTGGGTACATATCCAAAGGATGCTCAATTGTGCCACAAGGACATGTGCTCAACTATGTTCATAGCAGCATTGTTTGTCATAGCCAGAACCTGGAAACAATCTAAATGCCCCTCGACCAAAAAATGGACAAAGAAAATGTGATACATTTACACAATGGAGTACTACACAGCAGAAA